TTTTGCAATGTTTCCTTTAAAAGAAAACAAAAAAGAGCAAGGGTTTACTTTCTTTAGTTTGTGGATTGAATTTTGTTTAAGATCATGTCCGAAGTCATTTAGAATCTATGTGTTCGTGAGAAATCTTATGTTGAAAACGAGCAATTAGGAGATATATATATATATACATTTAAACTCGGTTTACAATTAGGAGATATACATACATTTAAACTCGGTTTACAATTAGGAGATTTATATACATTTAAACTCGGTTTACAATTTCAAAGTGAGAATCAAGGAAACCAGTCAGGGGTGGATATGTATTACGTGAAACAGGGGTATCTAGGATTGCAACACAAATGAAACTAACCAAAAAAAAACTATTTACAACCTGTTGGAACTTGGAATAGACATCTTTTGGTCCCTAATTTAAAATACATAATCAAACACAAAAGTACAAAATGAAAAATACAAAAAAATCTGTATTAAGCGGGTGAAAATGGGTTCCAGTTGAAGCTTACTGGCCCAGGACCCCTAATTTAACGTGTACATATATTCTCCCTAAAATATTACTTGTCAGCATTGTTCACGTCTATCTGCCTGACTGCCTGTCTGTCTGTCTGCATTTATGTCTGTCTGTCTGTGTGTCTATTTGTCTTTCTCTGAATAATCTGTTTATCTCTTAATCTGGTTATCTCTTGATCTGCATATACATATATGTCTATCTGTCTATTGTCTATCTGTCTATATGTATATATGTCTTTCTGTCTATCTGTCTATCTATCTATCTATCTATCTATCTATCTATATATGTGTCTATCTGTCTATATTTCTATCTGTCTATCTATCTATCTATCTGTCTATCTATCTATCTGTCTATCTGTCTATCTGTCTATCTGTATTGTTTTCTTGAAGTTCTAATCTAAGGATAATCCCGTATATTCTCTTCATAACTTCAATATCAAAGGAGGGGGTGAAGAAATATATGGGAAAGGACATTGATAGTTTGTTTGCTTATGTCCGGTTGACATTGAAGCCTATGAGATTGTGTCTATTGGTTTGACATTGATAGTGTGTGTGCTTATGTCCAGTTGACATTGAAGCCTGTGAGTTCTTGACCATGGTTTGGCATTGATAGTGCGTGTGCTTATGTCCAGTTGACATTGAAGCCTATGAGATCGTAACCATTGGGTTGGCATTGATAGTTTGTTTGGTTATGTCCGGTTGACATTGAAGCCTATGAGTTCGTGCCCATGGTTTGGCATCGATGGTTTGTGTACTTATGTCTGGTTGACATTGAAGTCTTTGAGATCGTTCCCATTGGTTTGGTATTGATAGTTTTGTGTGCTTATGTCCGTTTGACATTGAAGCTTATAAGATTGTGCCCATAGGTTTGGCATTGACATTTTGTGAGTTGTACCTGGACGGATACGAATCTGAAAGCAGTGTAGAAGTACATTTACTACATATATACATATAAATATATTTTTTAAACATTCCTTTTATAAAAAGGGTAGCACTCACAATACTTTCTTTACACTGTAACATCCCTACTGTAGAAGACATTCTTGAAGTGTTTTATCAAATATGCAGTGTAAGTGTAATAGCCTAGACACACCCCATTATAATTTCCGCCATAAGAGCATATATTTTCTGACGCAAGAGTATTAATTATCCAACACAAGAGAGCTTTTTCCACCACAAAAACTTGTATTTTCTAATATAAAAGCATGTTTTTTTCTACCACAAGAGCAAGCATTGCATGTCCGCCACAAGGGCAAGCATTTTCCGCCACAAGAGCAAGCATTTTCCGACGCAAAAAATGTATTCTCCCCACAAGAGCATGTATCATCTAACGGAAAGCATGTATTTTCCGCAATACGAGCACGCATTTTCCGCCACAAGAACATGGATTATATGCCACAAGGGCATGCATTTTCGGCCGCAAGAGTATGCATTTTCCGCACAAGAACTTGTATTTTCTAATACAATAGCAAGTTTTTTTCTGTCACAAGAACGTTTTTCTGTCACAATACACAATGCTGCTAGGATCGAGGTGAGAATCTGCCTAATCACACTAATATGCCGAGTCCATTGTGCCTCATCCAATCAGGTTTCAGCCATGTGTGTGGTGCATATTCTGAACCAATAAAAATTGCATGGCGGTAACATCTATCTTTCTATCTAGCTCATTATCCAATTAGAGATAAATCCTTATGTCGGCGCTATAACAGTAAATGGAAATATTCACCTACTGAAACCATAATAGTGATAATGGAAGCTAACAAGAGGGGGATTTTTATTACGGTTATAAATATAATGATAAAACAATTCTTGAAAAACTGAGAGAGCAGAGGTTTATTTTCAATTTGCTTCGGATACACATAAACACATTAATAGTTAATCAGTTCTACAAAAAAAAACACAAAAACATGTAAAAAGCAAAATAGATTATTGTTTCTTGTGCGTAAAAAAAGATTAAAAGCAAACATTTTAATCTTAAGTTTAAACTTATATATTTTAAATTATCGGTTTTTAAAAATACCCTGCTTTTAGACCGAGACCTTTATTTTTTATTTAATTATAACCAAAAAGGCGATAGTTGCTAAGGCATGTTTTTTATTAAAGAGAGTGACCGGCAATGTACGGTAGTTGTACTAACAGTATTAATGAGAAATTTTTTAGGATTTATTTGAGACCAATCAGACGACCACGAAAAATGTAGCAATAAATTCTACATTAAACTTTTCAGTTGTTTACTGTTTATTCAGTTCAACTACATTACATTGCCGGTCACTCCCTTTAAGAAGGGTCCACACACCGCCGCACACGTTCATTTGTAATCAAATTATTCAACAATTGTAGTTCTTTGAAATCAAATTATTCAACATTTTTAGTTTTAACTTCTATATGTCTCTATTATAAAAAGTTACATTTTTGATTTTGATAAAGGAACTTGATACTCGCCTTAATATCAACCTTTCTATTCCATGTTTGCCATTTCGATGGTGCAAGTGATATTTTAAACTTTGACTATAGTAGTGAAAACCAAATAGTTATTTTTACCAAATAGCCTAAATATTTTACTAAAATAGAGGCTCTAGTAATGTAAAGATGTGTTGTGTATATCAAACAGTCACGTTATAAGAAGCTTGTTTAGGAAATTACTAATAAAGAATATCACTCTCTGAATATTAATTAGATTAAACGGAAATATTGTCACAATCCTCGGAACTGCAGGAGCTTTTTTGATGCACAATGCACAATGAGAAGGATGGGGGGGGGGGCACAATGGAGTATCAGGGGGGGTCAGAAATATTGAGTTTACACCATAAACCTCTTATGCTTGAGTCAAATTAGGCTCGGGTGCTTGAGTAATTTTGTTTTTGAGAGAAGTCTCTGAGGCTAGCTTTGTAATGTTGTGTTAAAGTTTTGAAATCAAACGGAAAACTGGTAATTTTTGTGAAAACTCTTAAAATGGGTATTTTATCTACGAATCAGAGACCAAACTAATATTTTGGTGGGTAGCTGGCGTCCACATCTTTTAATAGTGGTTGTTAGAATCTATACATACATATAGAGTATCATGAATCCGTTGCAATTTAGTGTAAAAAAGCTATAAAGTACATGTTTTCCCCTGAAATAGTTAGCTTTAACGAAGACGACATTCTGAACATATTTACAGGATCCATTCAAGGATAAATATATGTACGAGAAAAGTAATTATGAATGGAAATCATTGTAGATTAATGCAAGCAACAATTAATACAATGTTTGTAAATGAAAAGATTATAAGAATAAATTCATGTTGTCCCTTCTATTTCTCACTATGATGAGAATTTTTCCAATTACTTTTCTAAAAGCAAAGCTAACAACAAGTGCTTTATTGCGTTAAAATGTACATGTAAAGGGCTACAGATAAGCAGAATAAAGTTAGAGCGGTAAAATCAAAGCCCAAGGTGCAACACTTCAGAGTCAACCCCGTCTTAAATATTGATGAGACTCTTTATAAGCTACTAGAAATTCAAGGCGCTTCGCGCCCTTCTTTCTAGCCTTAGAGGGCGCTTCGCGCCCATCTTCTAAATTAGTTGTGAACATGTTCTCTTTGTGTACATCGTAAAACAAAACAAAAATAATTCGCGGATTTTCAAAATTTTAAAAAATTTAATGACGATCGAATTTTGATGGAGACAAAAATTTGAAATTTTGATGATTCATAAACCTTCCCTGGAGTCCCTAAGATGTCCCACAAAAAATTTGGGCCCGATCGATTCAGCCGTTTTGACGTTTATTGGATACAAACAAACAAACAAACAAACAGACAGACAGACAAACAGACAAGCCAAATTTATATATAGATGTGTGTTTTGAACACTTGATACAGTTTCCGGAAATTACAAGTTTTCAAGGCAGAAGGCTTAATTTAATCTTGAAAGAGTTTTATGTCGTCTTTAAAGTGTCATCCTTATCCTTTGTGAGTAACCCTGCATGTTAAACTTTAAGCTAATCTATTTAAAATATTTTTAATCTATTTAAACACTTTGTAATCTATTAAAACAAATTTTAATCTATTTAAACTATTTGTAATCTTTAAAACTAGTTTAAATCTATTCAAACTATCTATAATATAATCCATTTAAAATATAATAAACTATTGTTATCTTATTTAAAACTTTTGCAAAGCTATTTAAACTAGATAATAATCTATTTAAAGATATATGTTAATCTATTAAAACTATTGATAACCTATTTTAAACAATTCTCTTTAAAACTGTTGTAACCTATTCAAACTATTTGTTAATCTCAGACTATTGTTGTGTAATTTATTTCTTCTCTTGTTTACTATTTAAACTATTGCTAGTCTATTTAAACGTTTGCTGTAAATTGTGAAACCGTTTTTTTATATTCATATTCCGATTACATTTGTTTACAAAATGAAAGACAGGCCTGGAAAAAAAAATATATTATTAACCAACACCTAACAATTCCGTAATTGCGAAACCCATAAGAGCAAAGTTAAGAAGAGTAATAATAAAATTTATTAAAAGATTGATTTGTTTATTGAAAGTAACCGACTTATCTCAAACGGATCGAAAAATAACAATTTTGATTAATAGATAATCACAAGTTAATTTTGAACCATTTCCATCGGAGTGTTTCTATAAGTCAAGAAATTCTGCCAATAATAATAATCATTATTTCCAGAGTGCTCCAGAATCCAACTCCCAGAAAATTGCTCCTCTAAAGTAAAAATGGTGTATAAAGTGAAAGGATAAAGTGAAAGGATAAGAAAAGTCGATAAAACTTTCTATCGAATGTTTTATCCGTTTAAACTTCTCATAAAAGTATCCTTTGATTTAATATAAAGATTATGACTTTTTCCGCTCGCTCATTAACGGTTGAAATTAAATTCCTAAAAAGAACAGATTAAATCGTTTGAAATGATGAGTGCAGGTTCGTTTGGCATAATCGGCAGATATTTCCCGTTTGTGAATGGAAATTCCGTTTGTTAATGGAACGTTTTCCATGGACCTATAATGAAACGTTTCCCAAGGACCTATAATAAAACATTTTCCATGGACCTATAATTAAACGTTTCCCATGTACCTATAATAAAACGTTTCCCATGGACCTTTAATAAAAAGTTTCCCATGGATCTTTAATAAAACGTTTCACATGGACCTATAATAAAACGTTTCCCATGAACCTATGATAAAATGTTTCCAAGGGACCTTTAATAAAACGTTTCTCATGGACCTATACTAAAACGTTTCTCATGGACCTTTAAAAAAAGTTTCCCATGGACCTATAATAAAACGTCTCCATGGACCTTTTATAAAACGTTCCCCATAGACCCATAAAGAAAGGTTTTGGGCTCAAACCTTGGTTCTAGCTTAGGCCTGAGTTTGTCGAGTTCGGCTTTAGGTCCAACAACATTTAGTCTCATACCTCCAGCTCCAACAACCTACAGCACAGTTTAAGGGCTTAGGATTCCTTATGGGAGATATTTCTTTTTGTAAAAATATGAATTGCTTCAGTCATTATTTGTTTCTTGCTGTTCAATTTTTCTGATGAACAATTTCGAAAGAGTTTAAAAAGCTGGGTTTGATAGTGGTTAACATGCATAGAGAAAATTCCCATCGCATTTTTTGCTTCATGAAAGCAAAATTTAGAAGGTCCATTTAATTTAATTTTCTTTTTCTTTCTTTTTATTAAATACCTTCAATGGCTCTTCTAGGAGCTCCTTCACGTCAGCTCCATGGGCAAGACAAGCTTCAGCATTCTTTATAAACAAATGATTATGATTAAAGGGAGTGTTCCCGAAAAATAAAAGGGGGGTAAAGGTTTACAGCGAAAAGTAAGCACTTTTCATCGTTACTAAGCTTTCTTCTATCTGTTGCGTCTATAAGGAGAAAATTGTTAAAAACTACTCACACCGACGAGCGTAGCGTCCATACAAATTCAGAAAGTTGTAATATTCAACTCGGATCGTAAAATAATCAATTTAACTCCAAACAAATCATTTAGATATTACAAACAATAGTCATCGTTTATTATTCGACGCATTCGCATATAATTAATATTTCATAATATTTTTTATTAATATTTTTTGTTTTTTTTTTGAATAATATTTCGCTGGTGCTGGATTTTCGAACCTTCCTAGAAAATATGAAAATGTCGTCTTTATTATCTAAAATCCTCGAAACAGGAACAAATGTTTTTAAAAGTAACTCTCAGATCATGAAAAATAAAAAATATTTTGAAATATCAGAAAAACACTAGATGTCGTCCATTCAATATTTAGAAGAATCGTTCACAATATTTTTAAAAGTAGAAACTTACTACATATCCTTCTCTACAGACCACAGAGTTTCCTTCCACCCCAAACCCGTAGTATAATAGTCCACTAGCCCCAGCACCATTCTAATTTCAAAATTAAGAAGTTTAAAAATGACTCTTGAAGTTACAGGGTGTCCCACGAAACATGACAGTTCGTAAATAGTTTAAAAATACCCTGTATTAGATAGTAAAGGCTTTTTGGTGTTTATTTTGTTTAAAAAATCTTTTGCTCAAATTTATTTTACAATTTTGCAATAACATAACTCCTATATAATATTTTTACTATTGTCTTTGGTATTAAACAATTTAACAAATTATGGATTAAGACATTTTAAACTATTTACCAACTGTCATGTTTTGTGGGACACCCTGCAGTTTCGTAATAACAACCCATAATGCAGGGTTTAATGGTTCTTTTTCAGTTTTTTATTTCTTTTCTGAACTGAAAGTTTTTCACGAGAGAAATAAAAACATAGGTTTTTTTTGAAAATGGATTTTGATTGGAAATATCCAAAACTAATGAACTTAATCCGGTGGAGATGGATGATTGGATTAACAATACAAACGTACCGACCTCTAGTTGCTTACTTTTATATAAAAATTCATAAGCACTTAAATTTTAAAATATGTTTTGACTTTTTTTTACCTTGGTGGCGGCATAAAACTTGGGAAATCCAGCAATGAACTCATCCATTCTTCCTGCAGGGACAATAAACTCAGGAGCTATAGATACACTCATTAGTTGAAAAATACTCTG